GTCTGGCCCATTTGCAGTGATCTTATTTATTTATTTAAGATGGGGTTTCACCATGATGGCCAGGCTGGTCTTGAACTCCTGACCTCAGGTGATCCACCCACCTCGGCCTCCCAAAGTGCTAGGATTACTGGCGTGAGCCACTGCACCCGGCTGCAGTGATCTTAATGTTCAATGGAACAGACAGAGGAACACTCCAAAGAGCAGAGGTAAGCAAAAAAAAGTATGGGGTATAACCAGTTTCAGATCCTTAGATCTGTTTCTCTTGTATCACACCAATGGGCTGGGCTGATGCCCCTCACTCCTGTTTCAGATTCTCCAAGGAATGAGTTCATACTTAAGAAGCAATTATCAAACTGAACTATATCATGAAACTTGGTGCCTAGTCATTTCTTTAACAATTGGAGGCTACCTTGTTTAGCACTTTACTATTTCTTCATCTTTAAGATCCATGAAACTGAAACAATTACGATAACTCACCAAACCTGGAATTTATGTCTAAACTAAAGTCCACAGATTTGGGATGTCTGCTTCGAGTTGTCTCCGAGCTGTTAAAAACAAAACAAAACAAAACAAAACAAACACTTTTTAAAAAGCATACAGGTCAAACAGAATAAAAACACAAAATTCGTAGGAAGGAATATAAATGTAAGAGTCAAGAACCTAATAGAGTTGCAACACTTACCTCTAATAGTTTCCAAGGAATGTCCTTGTAGGAGTAACCTTAACAAGAAAAGAAACCAAAAACTTAAGGGTGATATCCAGTAACCCCTACCAATCCAAGTGGAATAGGGATGTAAAATAAAAGCCTTTAAATCCCTTTATAAGGCCATTTTGCTGCCATCCTCAATATTCTCTTGAGATATAAATTAACCCTGTCTGTTTTGTCACAACAAACATGAAGCCCAAACCCTCCCTCAAATGAAGTTCAGGTATCTATTCTAGTTTGCCTGTCACATTTTGCTGTGATAATGGAACAGATAGTATTAGCATTCTGCAGAGTAAATACATATACCCTACCCCCAATCTCTAACTTTCATTTCCAAAAGGACAGGAAGTGCCTGCTCAGCTCAAGGGACACAGGAAGGGTGGGACAGCCTCAGTGTGGGAATTGCAACTGAGATGGAAAACACAGCAGCCAAATGCAGTGAATAAATAAATAAAAGCATCACTCAGTGGTTTTTTTTTTTTTTTTTTTTTGAGACAAAGTCTTGCTCTGTCACCCAGCCTGGAGTGCAGTGGTGCTGTCTTGGCTCACTGCAACCTCTGTCTCCCAGGTTCAAGCAATTCTCCTGCCTCAGCCTCCCCAGTAGCTAGGACTATAGGTGTGCGCCACCATGCCTGGCTAATTTTTGTTCTTTTTTTTGAGACAGAGTCTTGCTCTGTCGCCAGGCTCCAGACTGGAGTGCAGTGGCACAATCTTGGCTCACTGAAACCTCCACCTCCTGGGTTCAAGCTATTCTCCTGCCTCAGCCTCCTGGGTAGCTGGGACGACAGGCACATGCCACCATGCCTGGCTAATTTTTTTAATTTTTAGTAGAGACGGGGTTTCACTATGTTGGCCAGGCTGATCTTGAACTCCTGGCCTCGTGACCTGCCAGACTTGGCCTCCCAAACTGCTGGGTTTACCGGTGTGAGCCACCACATCCGGCTGTGACCCCCTGATTCTGTAAGCAACATTCTGTTTTCTGCTACCATGAGTTGATTGTTTCAGATTCTAAGTATAAGTGAAAACTTACAGTATTTGTCTTTCTGTGCTTGGCTTATTTCACTTTCACTTAATATTATGTTCCCCAATTCCATCCATGTTGTCACAAATAACAGAATTTCCTTCTTCTGGGCCGGGCGCGGTGGCTCAAGCCTGTAATCCCAGCACTTTGGGAGGCCGAGGCGGGTGGATCACGAAGTTAAGAGATCGAGACCGTCCTGGTCAACATGGTGAAACCTCGTCTCTACTAAAAATACAAAAAATCAGCTGGGCATGGTGGCGTGCCTATAATCCCAGCTACTCAGGAGGCTGAGGCAGGAGAATTGCCTGAACCCAGGAGGCGGATGTTGCGGTGAGCCGAGATCGCGCCATTGCACTCCAGCCTGGGTAACGAGAGCGAAACTCCGTCTCAAAAAAAAAAAAAAAAAAGAATTTCCTTCTTTTTTTTTGAGACGGAGTCTTGCCCTGTCACCCAAGCTAGAGTGCAGTGGAGCGATCTCGGCTCACTGCAACCTCTACCTCCTGGGTTCAAGTGATTCTCCTGCCTCAGCCTCCCGAGTACCTGGGATTAAGGTGTGTGCCACCATGCCCGGCTCAGATTTTCCTTCTTTTTTAAAGCTGAGGCTGTGAGGTGGCTCCCAACCTGTAATCCCAGCACTTTGGGAAGCTAAAGTGGGAGGATCACTTGAGCCCAGGAGTTCAAGACCAGTCCAGGCAACGCAGTGAGACCCCATCTCTACAAAAAATAAAAAAGAATTAGCCAAGCATGGTAGTGCATGCCTGTGGTCCCAGCTACTTGGGAGGCTGAGAATGGAGAATCACTTGAGCCAAGGGGTTCGAGGGCTGCAGTGAGCCATGATCACATCACTGCACTCCAGCATGGGTGACAGAGTGAGACCCTGTCTCAAAAAAATAAAGTTGAGGCTGGGCATGGTGGCTCATGCCTGTAATCCAAGTACTTTGGAGGCCAAGGTGGGTGGATCGCCTGTGGTTGGGAGTTCAAGACCAGCCTGACCAACATGGTAAAACCCCGTCTTTAAAATAAATAAATAAATAAATAAATAAAGTTGAATAGCACTCCATTGTATATATACAGCATTTTTCTTTACTCATTAATCTGTTGATGAACACAGGTTGATTCCATAACTTGGCTACTGTGAATAGTGCTGCAATAAACATGGGAATGCAGATATCTCTTCAATGTACTGATTTCAAATCTTTTGGGTGAATACCCAGAAATGACATTGCTGTTACCCAGGCTGGTCTTGAACTCATGGTCTCAAGCAATCCTCCCACTTTGACTTCCCAAAGTGGCTCATGTCTATAATCCCAGCTACTCAGGAGGCTGAGGCAAGGGGATAGCTTGAGGCCAGGAGTTCCAATACCATACCAGTAACAGAGAAAGACTCTGTCTCTAAAAAAATTAAAATTAAAAAAATTAGCTAAGTGTGGTTGTGTGTGCCTATAGTCCCAGGTACTGGGGAGGCTGAGACAGAGGGATTACTTGAGCCCAGGAGTTCAAGGCTGCAATAAACTGTGATCTGCCACTACACTCCAGCCTGGGCAACAGAGAGAGACCCTGTTTCTAAAAAAACACATAAATAAATAAGTAGTAGGCTAGGCGCGGTGGCTCAAGCTTGTAATCCCAGCACTTTGGGAGGCCAAGGCGGGTACGTCACCTGAGGTCAAGAGTGTGAGACCAGCCTGGCAACATGATGAAACCCTGTCTTTACTAAAAATACAAAAATTAGCCTAGCGTGGTGGTAGGTGCCTATAATCCCAGCTACTCAAGAGGCTGAGGCCAGAGAATTGCTTGAACTCAGGAGACAGAGGTTGCAGTGAGCCGAGATCGCACCACTGCATTCCATCCTGGGCAACAGAATGAGACTCTGTCTCAAAAACAAACAAAAGTAATAAAATAAAAGGTTTAAAAAATCAAATAAAATCAAATTAATAAAAAATTAAAAACAGTTAAAAACCATGGGTTTTATCTTATTTTTTTGAGACAGAGTTTTGCTCTTGTTACCCAGGCTGGAGTGCAATGGTGTGATCTCGGCTCACTGCAACCTCCGCCTCCTGGGTCCAAGCAATTCTCCTGCCTCAGCCTCCCGAGTAGCTGGGACTACAGGTGTATGCCACCATGCCCAGCTAATTTTCGTATTTTTAGCAGAGACGGGGTTTCACCATGTTGACCAGGATGGTCTCGATCTCTTGACCTCGTCATCCACCTGCCTTGGCCTCCCAAAGCGCTGGGATTATAGGCATGAGCCACTGTGCCCAGCCAAATCCATGGGTTTTAGAAAGAGGCAGGCCTGAGTTCAAATCCTAACATCTGGCTGGACACAGTAGCTCACGCCTGTAATCCCAGCACTTTGGGAGGCCAAGGCAGGCAGATCACTTGAGGTCAGAAGTTTGAGACCGGCCTGGTCAAATTGATGAAACCCTGTTTCAACTAAAAATACAAAAAATTAGCCGGGCATGGGGGCATGGGCCTGTAGTCCCAGCTACTCGAGAGTCTAAGGCAGGGGAATCACCTGAACCCAGAGGCAGAAGTTGCTGTGA